TGATAGAGGCATGCTAGAGCGATGAAAACGCCTTATATGTGTTCAGCTCGACGATACGGATCGACTGATATGCAACATGACCCTTTCCGGTCAGGTCATGACCTTGACCTGAGGTCAAATTTTCAAGTTGACCTTTCAAGGTCAAGTTATAGTTCATTCGATGCGTCTTGACGAGAGGAACACGATGCCGGTAAAAGTAAGCTCGTACATGGCTTGGGTCAAAAGTTATTGCAGAAAAACTGTTTCCGAAAAAATCGGCTATTTTTGCAGTTTTTGCCCCCTGCAGGCAAAACCGTTGACGTTAGGTCAAATCTGAGAGAATTACTCAGAAAGGGCGTTAATAGGGCTATCGAATGCGCTTTTCCGCGGCGCTGTAGCTCTATTGGTTCCCAAGTTATGCGTTGGCTTCTTGGAAATTTTCGACATTCGACCTGGAAATCGGCGAAATTTTGCCTTCAATGACCTCTGGTGACCTGACCTTTGACCTGACCAAAAAATTGACCGAAGTGATTTCGTCATTATTTTTGACGCTCTTTCGAACGCCGCCCTCCCCGTATCGCTACGTGGCCCAGGAGCCGAGTTACAAGGGGGGGTGTTCAAACACCCCCCCCCCCCCCAGCAGGGCGTGGAAATCCAGGACCCCCAGCCGGGCGCGGGTTAATGAATTGGCATGAAAGTGATGTTGCTGGGTTCAGAAAGAGCGAAAACGAATATCTAGGTACCAAATTTCACCGAAAAAATATTCACCGGTTTTCAAGATATTAGACTTTTACTTTTGTTTACTTTTTGGGATCTCCGCTGTTCCTAGCGACTTCATTTGGAAGCAATAATTTGGCATCCTTGAAATGCGGCAGACGTTGCGCGCAAAGCAGTGTATACCACCACGTGTTAACGGTGGTGTTAGTCAAAGATTTAAAAATCGTTAGATCTCCGCTGACGTCACAAATTCTAAGGGGGGCATTCAAATGCATTGGCCCCTCAGAATCTGAAAACTGCAAGTTTGAAATTAAATATCTCTGAATTAAAGCAATTCTTGATGTTGTGAGTGCCCAAATCGGTATTTGCAGGCCAGGGCCCCCAATTTGGCTATCTCAACTCAAAACTAATGTTAAGGTGGGATGGTCACATTAAAGTTTAATATATGTAAGCATGTACAGAGGTCTATGATGTAAGTAATTGACACGTGCGTCAAAATAGTGACGTATTCAACGATGGATTCTGAATTCACTGAAAACTCGTTTTCAGATCAAGTCGGACACGCTGATTCAAAAAATTGATAGAAAACACATCTTTAAGGTCGTCTTCAAGTTATAATTTGAGGTCCAAGGACGGGGTACCAAATAACGTCCCAAATTATTTCCCCAACAGGTTCAAAAGTGGTCATACATGATAGCTCGTCACCGTGGGCAACCTCCGTGACCAATGACCACGACCTTGACCTTGACCCTTGACCTTCAAAGTCAAATATGTGGTCAAAGGACAGGGTACCGGACAACGTCCCAAATTATTGCCCCGACAAGTTCAAACGTGTTCATACATGATAGTTCGTCACCGTCGGCAACCTCCGTCTAATGACCTTGAACTTGACCCTTGACATTCAAGGTCAAATGTGAGGTCAAAGGACGGGGTACCGATAACGTCCCAAATTCTTGCCCCAACAGGTTCAAAAATGGTCATACATAATAGCTCGTCACCGTAAGCAACCTGCATGACCATGACCTTGACCTTGACCAATACCATTGACCTTCAGGGTAAAATTTTAGGTCAAACGACAGAATACCAGATAACGTCCCGAATTTATGGATGTACCGAGCTAAAGACGGTGCCAAACGACGGCCACCCTCGTTGGCTAGTATCCGCTACCCTGACCTTGGCTCTAGCCTTTGATCTTCAGGGTCAAACACAAGGTCAAGGATAAACGTCATTTCCCATAGAGGGAGTAGGCCGAAACGAGAAGAAGTTGATTAGCTACGTCTCAAAACACCCATTCCAGAGGATGCTCGTCTACTCGGGCTACATTTTATTCTTATTGACCTTGACCCTAATGTTTGACCTTAGAGGTCAAACTCCAGGTCAAAGGACGGGGTACCGGAGGATAAGGTTAGGGGATTTACAAGGTCAAGGTCATGGTCACGGAGGTTGCCCACGGTGACGAGTTATCATGTATGACCATTTTTGAACCTGTTGGGGCAAGAATTCGGGACGTTATCGGTACCCCGTCCTTTGACCTCACATTTGACCTTGAATGTCAAGGGTCAAGTTCAAGGTCATTAGACGGAGGTTGCCGACGGTGACGAGCTATCATTACGGAGCGAGCGAAGCGAGCGGAGTCTCACGTAGAATAACGGAAATTTCTGAGTATGAGCGGCCGGCCGGCCGGCCGGCCGGCCGTGCGGACGCTTTTGCGAGGCTTATATCTCAGCAAATACTTGACCGATTTACACGCGGTAATTTTTGTAGGGTAGCTTCATTCCTTCTACCAAGTATTGGACTATTCCCGATGCATGTGGGTGACCCCTTATGCACGTGCCACGTGCAAAACGAAGAGGTGTCAGTTTTGTAACAATTGCAATATCTCGGTAACTACTGGGCCGATTGTGCTGAAAGTTGGCATGTAGGTAGGCACCCACTAGGCAATGCATATCCATGTGCCACAGTGGGGGTGCTGCTGCACGTGCGCACGTGCAGCTGGGTCGATTCCAGATCTCGAGAACGGCTGAACCGATTGCGCTGAAATTTGGTGTATAGTTAGGGATCGGTTAGTAGGGTGCCGTGCAAAAGTCAGTTGGGACCTATTTCGCACGTGCGCACGTGCAGGGTGCCGCTTCCATATCTCGAGAACGGCTAGGCCGATTGCGCTCAAATTTGGCACATCGCTAGAGACCGGTTAGTAGGGTGCCGTGCACAAGTCAGTTGGAGGTACCCCCTCGCAATTTCGCACGTGCAAGACCCACCCTCTCGCTCGCTCCGTTAGTCGCCCCAAAAGGCGTTATACTGGTGTAAGAACACGTTTGAACTTGTCGGGGCAATAATTCGGGACGTTGTCCGGTACCCTGTCCTTTGACCACAGATTTGACTTTGAAGGTCAAGGGTCAAGGTCAAGGTCATGGTCACGGAGGTTGCCCACGGTGACGAGCTATCATGTATGACCACTTTTGAACCTGTTGGGGCAATAATCCGGGACATTATCCGGTACCCCGTCCATTGACCTGGAGATTGACCTCGAAGGTCAAACAGTAGGGTCAAGGTCAATAAGAATAAAATATAGCCCGAGTAGGCGAGCATCTACTGGAATGGCTGTTTGAGACGTGGCAGATCAAATTCTTCTCGTTTTGGCCTACTCCCTCTATGGGAAACGACGCCTATCGTTGACCTTGTGTTTGACCCTGAAGGTCAAGGGTTAGAGCCAAGGTCAGGGTAGCGGTGGCTAGCCAACGAAGCTGGCCGTCGTTTGGCACGATTTTTTTTTTGCACGTTCCTTCCATACATTCGGGACGTTATCCAGTGCCCTGTCGTTTTACCTCAAATTTTTAAGCCTTGACCTTCAAGGTCCAGGTTGTACCTATTGTGACGTCATATCTCGGTGACCTGACATGACCCGATTTTTTTACCAAAAGTTGCGCAAAGGATGCCCCAGAGGCTATTGAAAATTTATGTACGATCCGACTAATAGCTAGGCAGGGCTGGTAAAAATGGTTTTGGTGGCTCTGACCAAATTTTCGGCCATGAAAAGTGGCTCCTAACACTCGTAACTGAAAAGGCTTGAAAGTGCAGTGAATAACGTCCTTTTTCGAGAACACCTTAAACATCATCAGTAACTATTTTAGTTTTACTTATAGCTCACTGATGTATCCTGATTTTGGGACATCGGCTGGTGTTGAACACAGCAAAAGAATGTAGGTATATAATTTCTTCTACTTTTGTTTAAGTTGGTTGGTGACAGAAATGTAAGGCATATGCATGTAAGGCAATGAATGTTTTTGACAAAAAAATATATATATAATACTGACTCACCAACAGAGGACATTTCATCATCTCGCCCACTAGCATAGATCTTCCGCAGGCTGGTCATTGTCTGCGTCATCTGAGATACACATGATTGATGATGTCCTAAGCTGAGAACTGAAACACAAAGGCATTATAAGTCTAATATTAATTTTAGTTACAAAATGCCTGAAATTCAAATCAGGATTGCTTATATAAACCTATTTTGAGTATGACGTACCAACGAAAAACATGCGGACGAGAAACATCTTGATATTCAAAATTTAATTTAATTTATTAACAATTATGCTAAGCATAGGTACTGGGTTGGTTGGCAAATAAATGTGAGTATCGTTAGCCACTGGGGTTAGGTATGAATCTTCAAAATAAAAACAAGCGCCATATTTATGTCTAGCTCTACAGCTTGATCAGCTTTAAATATTGAGGTAGGTGGTCTATGATAGTGCTATCAGATGTACTAGAGAGAAGAGGAGCAACTTCAAATCCAACCGAACAACAACCAACATACCATGAAATGTAGTTATACAGTTTGCCTGTGCTGCCGCAACCCTGCACGAGGCTTGACATTGATAAAAATGAAAAGTCCACTTGAATATCATTATTTGTGTTCTAAACTAGTCGGTAATACAGTGAACCGCCAATGGTAGAAGGCTCTGTGGCTCCCCGTTCCCTCAACACTAGGTCCTCATCACTGATGTAAGTTACGGAGCCCTATTCTCCGTCGTGTTAATATATAATATCACACGGGGCCGGTAAAATGTTTCATTCAGGACCGAGGGATTTGTTGAGTTTTCCGCACGAGACCGAAAGTCGAGGGCGGAAAATTCAACAAAGCCCGAGGTCCTGAATCAGGAAGCCGCTACCAGTTCCACCAAGTGCTCCAGCAGGCGAGCGTGCACCACATCCCAAGAGGAGCACGCGCAGGTGCTAAGCCGTGGGCCCTGGATCCGGAGCTGGAAGAGGCGGTCGAGGCCAGACGCGCGGCACGGCGCGACATGAGGAGCGGAGACCGCGCGGCCAAGGAGCGATGGGTGGCAGCGAAGCAGAGGGCAGCGTCGATTGAGCGCCGTGTCTCCCAACAGCAGTTCAGGGACTTTGTGTCGAGCACCCTCAACAAACACCAGAACCTAGGACGCGTGCACAAAACGCTGAAGAAGTGGGAGGGCTCCACAGACGACCAACACAGAGCTGCCGAGACCATGGAGGACAACGGACGCACCCTCGTGACGGACCGCGAGAAAGCCACAGCCTTCAACCGCACATACGCCACCGTGTCCAAACAGGTGCGGAACCCGAAGGTAGACCGTGACGCCAAGAGAAGGCTGAAGGCGTCCAACGTCAGGACCTGCAACGAGTGCCGCGGGCAGAGAACGGGCTTCTGCTCTCCGTTCACTGAGGAGGAGCTGACGCGCCAGATCTCCCAGGCGCAACTACAGAAGTCCCCGGGCCCAGACGACCTGTGCAATGAGCACGTCAAGCACCTGGGTCCGAGAGCGCGCCTCGCCCTCCTCAGCCTCATCAACGCATCGTGGCAGACCGGCGTTGTCCCGCGTGAGTGGCGGCGCGCCGTCATCGTGCCCATCCCCAAGTCGGGCAAGGACCCGAGGAAAATCGGCAGCTATCGGCCCATCGCGCTCACCTCACACATCGCGAAGCTGGCCGGGCGGGTTATTGCGACCCGACTCACCCACCTCGTCGCGGAACGACAGCTCGTCCCGCCCGAACAAGTCGGGTTCAGAGAGAAGCGCGGGGTCGAGGACGTCATCGCCCGACTCACACAACAAGTCCAGGACGGGTGGCAGAAGAAGCCGTGCCCACCCTCCAAGAAGCAGGTTCCGGATGGCGAGGCGGCCCAGAAGTATGTGCTGGTAGCCTTTGACTTCGCTCGCGCGTACGACAAGGTGGACCACCGTCTCCTGAGAGCCCGCCTCGCAGAACTGGGGATCCCGGCCTGCGCCAACACCTGGGTGTGGCACTTTCTGCGAGATCGGAGAGCCTGTGTGGAGCTGAACGGCACGAGGAGCGAGGAACGGGTGTACCGAGCGAGACTGCCCCAGGGCAGTGTCCTCTCTCCGACCTTGTTTTTGTTGTGGTCGGCCCCACTCGCGTCAGCCCTCAGGCGTCTCCCAGGAACCACACCGTTCATGTTCGCGGACGACACCTCGGCCCTGTGCTCGGGCAACACCATCGCCGTGGCTCGGGAGCGGGCGCAGCTGGCGGCCACCTCGCTCGTCAGGTGGGCCCGCCGCAACAAGATGGAGGTCGCGGGCGAGAAGACCCAGCTCCTCGTCCTCTCCCAGAACCCCCGAGACGCCGCCGATTGCCACATCCGCGTGGCGGGCCAGCTGGTGGAAGGGGGAGCCGAGCTGAAGTTACTGGGAGTGACTCTCGACAGGACGCTGGGCTTCGGCGCACACTGTAGGAGCCTCCGCCGGCGCGTCCGACCCCGCACCGCCCAACTACGACGCCTCACCGGCCGCAGCTGGGGACTCAAGGAGCAGCAGTTGCGCGCCGTGGCCAATGGCTACGTGCGCGGCGCGCTGGAACATGCGGCTGCTGCCTGGCTGCCGGCAACGTCAAAAACCAACGTGGAACTACTGGACCGGGAGATGCGCGCCGCGGCCCGAGTGGTCACGGGCTGTATCCGCTCGGCGCCCCATCACGGCGTCATGGCTGAAGCCGGGATCCTCCCCGTATCGGCCAGGCGCCCTGCGCTGGCGGCGCGCATGATGGCGAAGGCCGCCGCCCTGCCGCCGGAGGACCCCCTGCATCAGCTCGCCATGGATGACCCACCGCGGCGGCTCAAGCTGATCACCGGCTGGCGGGAGGTGGGCCGAGAAGTCCTGCGGGAGCTGCGGGTAGAGCTGCCAGTCGAGCCCCTGCTACCGAAGAGGCCACCGCCGTGGACACCGAGCGGACCCATCACATTCAACGTGGGGATCGGCGCTCTTCCCGCAGGGGCCGCCAACTCGACCAAGAGGGAGGCGGCGCTGCAGCATCTCGCGTCCCTGACACAGTGCGCCATCTGGGCATGGACCGATGGCTCAGCGAGCGGTGGAGTGCTCCGAGGAGGGGCTGGCGCCCTGGTCATCGGAGCGGACGACAGCCGCACCGAGCTTCGGATCCCGGCGGGCACCCTCTGCTCAAGTTTTAGAGCAGAGATGGTAGCCCTGCAGAAGACACTGGAGCACATCATCGAGAACGAGAGTGGCACGGATCCGGTCATCATCTGCACGGACTCCATGTCGGCCGTGGCCGCCCTGAGGGAGGGCCCGTCGGCCCAGCGGTCTGCCCGAGGAGCGACGGTGTGGCAGCTGTTGCGGGAGGCGTCAGCTGGGGACCGACCGGTCACCCTACAGTGGGTACCATCCCACTGCGGGATCCCGGGCAACGAGGCCGCCGACACACTGGCGAACGAGGCCGCGGCTCTGGCGCAGGAGGACGTTCCGCTCGACGTGGAGACCATCTACCGAGCAGCGGTCCGTACCGCAAGAGACCGCGCCGCCAGGGAGAGGCCGTCCTACCCGGACCCGGAACACAAGGCCGCGACCGGCTGGTACCGTGAGCTGATGGGCACAGGGTACCCACCGCCAATCTCCAACATGGACAGGACGAGCGCAATCGACGTCCACCAGATCCGAACTGGGCGATGGAGCGGCTCCGCCCAGTTCCTCCACGAGATAGGGAGGAACCCGTCCGTGGACTGCCCACAGTGCCGCAGTCTCGGCTGTATCGCGGCCCGCTGCAGGCTCTGTGGAGAGGAAGCCGACACACCGAGACACATCCTCCTGACATGCCCGGGGATGATGGGGGTCCGCCTCCGGACCCAGGCCATCGGCAACATACTGCCGACCCCAGAGGAGGTTCGGCGCAGCGATGCAGTGGCGGCCCTGGTGGCCGCCTTCAGGGCCCTCCAGAGCCACTAGGCTACACCGCGGCTTCGCCGCGGCTGCGGGGACCGACAACAACAACAACAGGTCCTGAATATATATTTCTGAGCGGCTCTGGGAAAGAAAAATGGAAACCGAGGTCTTTAAAAAATTGTAGGCACGAGGCGTAGCCGAGTGCCGGAGATTTTTTGAAGACCGAGGTTTCCATTTTTCTTCCCAGGGCAAGTTCAGTAAGATATTTCGGGTGCGGTTATTTTTTCTCATCTTAGTTTGCTATTTTGGCGCGATTTTGACAATTTCTGGCGCATTTCACTTATTTACTTTGGCGGCCATAGGGCAATGCAAGGGCAATGGTTTACTAACGGGAGATGTGATGAATTGCAGCAGCAATACTTGGAATATAAAGAAGAAGTGAAGCAATTATGATGCCTATTGTTTTTTATGACAGAAGGAACGTGGAAGAAAAAATATTTTGTGCAGCATGTGAAAACAAGGAAATAGAATGAAAGAAGGGCTGCTACTTTTCATGCGCCCGAAACCAGCCACCTCTTCATCATAGCATGGTAATGATAGTTTAAGTTTATGTTAAAAAATAGGAGGAGCTGCTGCAAAGGTCTTTGTAATGCCTCAAAAGCCATTAAGTCAAGTCAGGCATGCTCTTACAAACTGAACGTTCAAGTTACGAGACCCCATCATAGGTACCGCTCCAGTGGCTGCCGGCTGGTGCTTGAGCTTGTCAAATACCTAAATGTTTTGCTCAGAAATTGTTTGCTTTATTGGTTTCTTGAGTTTCACCAGATAAAGATACAAGGTTGGCTGATTTGGTGTTAGTTATCCATATTAAAGTGCATTGTTTGTGACAAGATTATGGAAATTGTAACCTCAATAATGAAATTTCATGCTGTCAAAGCTATGAGATGTTGCCTTGTGTTTGAAATCAGGCAAACATGGATTGAAGCTGTTTTCTTTAAAAAAAAAACTGCTTTTTGGTAACTTTCACCTCATAATTTGTATTTATTCAATCTCAGAATGGGAGCAAGGCTGAATCACAATTATCTTTTGGGAAATGTTGAAGTTCTACTTTCTGACCTGTTTGGTGCCAATAAATCCTGCAACCTATTTGGCTTATTTACCCATCTCTCTTGCCATCCCTACATATTTCATGTCAGTCTATTGCATAAATATTGTGTAGTTAACATACTTCATGAATGATATACAAATGAATGGTACCTATAGATGCTCGATGTGGGTAAATGAGAACCAATGAACCTATATTTTTTACAATGGCATCAAGTCCTCTTGTCACGGCCATGGATATCACAGAAGATTTTGCTGAACTGCGCAAGAGAATCCTGTGCAAGGAAATGTTTTGCATGATTTAGCTTAACAGCATAAATTTTATTTTCCCAGTTGCATTGGAGCTCTGCTGGAGTTTGCTGATGACAGGATGCTGAAGGGCTGAAGCTGGTAGCTCTGGCAGGAGTCCAGTGTCCACCAGCTCAAGATCCGACGCCGCCGCGTCGCCGCCGTGCGGCACTCCGCGGAGACGGGGACGGCGGTCATGATTGAAGACACCGCATTTCCCGCCTGGACTGTCCGGTCGGAGACTGGTAAAAGTGGTAATCCCTCCGGTGAGCCGCACACCGTGGAGCTACTGCACCGCGCGTGTCCACCCGCAGCGCAGTGCCAGCAACGATGCCGTGAGTGCGACATCTGCGTGCATATGACGCAGTGCGACTGTCACGACTCGCGGCTCAGTGTTCTGTCAGTGTGACAGTGCGGCTCGCGCTCGTTTTAGCGAGGTGCTCTGTTGTATATAACCACCTTGATGGAGACCTATGTGCTGCCGCTTGAGTTTCAATGTTTTATGTTTTATGCATCAAACTAGCATAAGTAAATGGCTGTCAGAGGTCAATTTGAAGCGCAATTAGTACCCATAACCCAGCTGGGTTGAGCGAGTCATGTGACTATATAGTCCCGATGAACGTGCTGTTTCGATGTCGTCAGTCGTAGACTTTTGTAAACCATTTGTTTCGGAGCTCTGTGTTGTGTTGTTCGGGACCGCAGTTGTTTGAGCAGTTTGCTTTATGCGTCGTACGCTGACAGAACGCTGGTCGTACACAAGTCATGTGTTTCCTTTCGCTCCTAATGGGTTACTGCGGTACCTATGCAGTTGGAATGTGTCTCGAGACACTAACTGGTCGCACTTGGTTGTGAAAATGACACTAGCTGGTCGCACTTGGTTTTAAGCTGCGCTTGGAAATCGTGCAATTTTATTTGCATTTTGCAATGCAATTTTAAGTATTGCCGTTACCATATTGGTAAATAATGTCAGAAGTTGGCCATTTGATGCGTTGTCACTTGTCAGACGCTGTTGCCTTAGTACTGACAAATTTATGGGCCGCGTTTGTGTTCCTGTTAACCCGCGCCCCACTGGGGGGGGCTATTTATAGCCCCCCCTCCCGTTTTTCTGCAATAACTTCCAAACCGCTTGACGAATTGACGCCAAACTTTCAGTACCTTCAGCTGCATCAATTTGACATCTTGTGTCAAAATTTGAACTTCGTAGCTACCATAGGTCGGCCGGAAATGACGTCAGAGTGACGTCATGTTCGTCCGATTTCGACGCAAAACATTGAACCACGGCAATCGCTCCCAAGAGCTCAGTTTTTAAGCTAGATCCAATTTCTTTGCATGAAAGGACTCAGAATTGACCGCGCTATCAAACTGTTATCTCGGATTTTCAAAATCTTGAAAATTTTGAAAATTTTATATAATAATATTCAAAATTTATATTTTTATATTTTTTTCAAAAAGTTTTTGATTTTTCGAAAAAAACCGGAATATATGTGACAGAACACATGATTATGACTAACTCTAGCAAGTTTTAGCTAAATATCTTCAAAAATGGCCAAGTTATACGCATTATTGCAAAAAATTAACAATTATTAATTTTTCAAATCAATTTTTCAGTACGTATTTGGCATCGTACACCAATATAAATGGCACCATCGTGTTCCTGAGCTCAAACTGCATCCAATAGACACCTTTTTTGTTGAAAAATTTCAACTTCAAAATTTGACCTTTTTTTACCTGAAAGTGACCTGACCTAAAGTAATTTCGACTCAAAATGACCTTGAATGACACAGACGACATCAAATTCGAAATCTATGGCCTAAATGGACCATAAAACATGTGTCACGTGACCGACCATGATATAATATTTTCGTGACCTGTGATGACCTGACCCTGACCTGAAAATCAAAGTACAAGTTTGGTACCCTCAAGGTATCTAGAGCATCTGTTCACGAGTGTGGAAACCAAAAATGAGCCTGATCTGACTTGTAAGACGGCGGCCAGAGCCCAAAATGTGAACAAGCCAAAGTGCTAATAATTTTTACTTTGACCTGACCTGTGACGTCATCGGTGACCTCGAGGTCAATGAAATTAGGTTTCGCTCGACAGTTTTTCCGGGGCTATCAGACGCCGTTTGAATTTTGATGATCGGCCCAGTAGTTTCGGAGTTAGGAGGGGGGGCTATGAATAGCCCCCCCCCCCCCAGTAGGGCGTGTTATACACAGACCCCAGTGGGGCGCGGGTTAAAAAACGGATCTCAATATAAGGTGATTCAGAGGTAGGAGCCTGAATGCATTCGTTCAGACTTTTCATTTTATGGGGATGCACTGTTTCATGAGCAAGAACGAGCATGGCTCTGGTTGAGCGAAGCGCAATCGATATTTGTTATCGTGTTTG